AATATTTAAATCCGTTGTAACAAGAAATCCGCTGTGGCGAGGTCTGCTGTGGCGAGGTTTGACTGTAGTTTGTTTGATTGTGTAGAGATTAAATGTAACCCCGCGTGTTGTTGGTAGGGTTTGTATTCACCGATACCGTAAGGAGGTCACACAGGGTTACACTATTAAAATCAAGTGTTTTAAGGGATTTTTTGCTGATTTATTAGTGTGTAACCCCCTTAATGGTATTCATGGTATCCATGAATACAAACCTTACTTGTCAGTAAAGTGGGTGTTGGTAAAGTGTCCCAGACCCGTTATTTTCAATTCCTTCTTTTAACAGGACATCCCTCATTGCCACTGCCAAGTCAACTCTATCATTCCATTTTTTTGATTTACAAGCTTCAGGTAACCCACCAGCATGCAAACCCATCAAATATTCAAACCCATCCTTTTGTATATGAAAATCACATTTCTGGCCAATAATGCCTCTATCTGTAGGTTTTTGGTTAAGGTTTAATACCATTTTCGAAGCCAAACTATCAGTTTCTCCTCTTAAAATAATAATGCCATTTGCTAAATGAACAACTTATTTATAATATGAGATAACAGAAATCTGTAAACTTACTCATCATAGGAAAATTTTTGTTCAAATGTAAGTATTCCTTTTGTAATCATATTAGTAAATGAGCTTGAAAAATAATTTTCACTGACAGAATTTGGCATATGATCAAGATTGAAAATACTTTGCAAAATAAATATATTCAGTTTAGTACAAATGAAAAACACATAAAATGCATTAAAAAAAAAAACAAATAACTTACTAAGCTTTTTGCAAGTCGTCTAATAGCATTTATTTTTTGATTATCCTTTATACAGAAAAATGCAAAAACATGAATCTAAGAATATATTTGATTTTATCAATGGCTGTATGTATATACAATTACAGACAAGCAACTTACAACTATTATACAATTTTTTTCAATTGCTGTGATTATATCATTGGGTGATTCATCAATTATCTAGATCATGAAGAATAAGCTTTTGTTGAAATATTGATACTTGGAATTAATAAAAATGATAATGAATATTCAAATCAAACCTGTGTGATCTTATCCATTAATTGAAAAAGCGGATCTTCTTCATCCTTCCATCTGGAGAATATAAAAAAATTTTACACATGTCAATTGTAAGTTTAATAATAAAAAAGTGTAAAACTTACATCGGCACTGTAAGATTTACACAATATTACGTCGGCATCGTAAGATTTATACAAGTTTACACTAAATTAATTTCCTGATGCAAGAGCATTTGCCATATAATAAAACCCTATATTTACTGTCACTTTATCATGTTAACAATCAGAAATGTGAGTATGATGAATTTATTGCAAACATAAATGCAAATAGAAATAACCCAATGAATAATAATGCTAATAATGGAACATAGCTTGATGTGATGGATGGCAATAGTTGGATTACAATTAATCCAACAGTTATACCAATTGATAATAATGGTAGAAAAAAAAAATTGGAATAATTTTGACCATCATCAAACCAATTTGGGCTGCATGTATAATCAAGGCTGTGTGTTGTAAGTTAGTGAAATCAACTGTAAGTCAGTAAGCAAGGTTAGTCCTAGCTGTGTGTTGATATTTAGACAGGTATCATTATGGGCTGTAATTTGGGGACAAAATAAAGACCAGCTGTGTGCCAAACATAAGAATTATCTGGTAAGTAAGTAACTCAGATCACATGCCCTCAATACCAACCAATTGAAGGCCCATGTGGTATATCTTAAAACTATAATCACATGTTCCAAACAAAAACATTCTAGCAACAGATAATATGTTTACATCTCTTTCTTTAAAAAAAGATTTGTTACAAAGTTAATTTTTTCTTTGATTGGATACAACCAAATTTCTATCAAGATAAAACCAAGCAGGTAGCATAACAATCAAGTCCATCAACCTTGGCGTTTAAAACCACTAGATATCGCCAGATTGATTAAAGGTTCAAAGGATCGTCAAGATAATTGGGC